TAGTCAAGTTTTTTCAATCAAATGCGATCTATTCTCAATGAAAGAAGGCTAGAATAATATTTCAAAGCATACCTGTCCTTTTCTTACTACAATGTATGATGGTGGTATGTCACCTTAGTAAATCCTTGATTTAGAGAGAAGTGGGCACCAAAAAGCTGAGTGACTTGTCCAAGTTCACATGGCAAGTTAGTGGCAGAACTATGAATCAATCCAGGTTTTACATGTCGCACCCTGGTAATTTTCTTCTAGATTATGTTCCATTACTCTGAGGCTTGCTTTTAGTTTTACAACCACAATTTCAAAGTTGGTGATTTAGGGAAACATTCCATGCAGAACTACCCTGAAGAACCAGATTCTCCAAAAGGTCCTCCTTCATCCTATTTTCGTAAGTAGTGTCAAGCTCAGGACTGACTGTACAGAACCCCTTTCAAAAGACTAATAGGTAGTCTCAATAGTGGTTAAGCACACTAGTCTACAACCACAGAATTTGAGCAAATATTAAAGTGGATGGTCAATAATAATCATGATTGACAAAAAAGTCAGTACATGGGCATGCAGAGGACTTTATGCAGTCTTTCCAGCGGTTCTAGATGTTAGTTCTGGGTAAAGTGCAGGTAGGGAAGGCGCACGCAGTATTAGATACCTACTTTATTTTCCTTTTTTTTTCTTAGTAGTGATTGGAATTGAGCTAATGCTAAGACTTTGAGATTATTAATGGATTCCACTCATCCAGACTCCCTCACTTCAATTACTAGGTAACGATAAGGCAGAGGGATGCTGTTAAGACAGTATTTTCCACTTCTATACTGATTGGCATGGTAACTGTGGTAACAAGAACCTGAACAACTTTTATTTTCCCTCTGACTTCCTAATGAATTCTCATCATTTGCAAAACTTTAAAATGACTGGACGAAGGAAAAGCATGGTCATGGCCCATGACACTTGGAGCCCAAACAGCATCGTGAAGCGCATTAGAACTAAGAGAAAGTGGCTACCAGAAAATGAAACGACTTTCTAAAGGGGTTCCTTACGAGTCTTGTTTTCTATTCAGGATGTTCTACGTTTTCTCATCAAATGTGGGAATGACATTTATCTTAGCAGGTTACTTAACTACACTGGATGTCATTCTAACCAGTATAGGGCACTGACCCAAGTCCTGGGGGACTCCTTGGACCAATGGACTATTTTACAAACCTGGGAGGTGGGAGGGATGGTATATTTTTGATAATCAGACATTCCAATATGTTTTCCTTAGAGGTCATACTCTCCCATTAATGTTATCGTGAAAAACATCAAGTATGTTCTTTTCTATTTTCATATAATAAATGGGCTTTGCTTACCAACATCACAATGGCAAAGAAGAAATATACTGTACAAAACTGCAGGAAGATAAACATGTGAAAACTTTCTATGAAAAAAAAACTCTTAAGTTTCTTGTCGTCTTCTTTTGAAACTGTAGTGCATATGTTAAAACATGTATATCATTTACAGTACTGAGTCGTGTGCCACTGCTGTACCTGATGTATCCAATCTGGATTAAACAAACTATGTGCCACAAACCCTAAAATGACTATGACTAGTTTCTTTTGATAACAGTTCTACTTCCCTTCCAAAAGTACTGCCATGTACTAGAACAATTTCTACCTTGCTAGAGAAGTAACTGAATCTTACAGAGTGAAGGCCTCATCTAACCTGCCACCCTCAGTGTAAGCAATTCCTCTGTGACTTCCTGAAGTGGCCTTGCCTCACTGCTGTAGCAAAGAATGTTCACTGTCTAACAGGTATAAACATTTAACAGCTAAATCATTGGATTGAATTTGTCAACATCTCTCTTTTGAGCCCTAATCCTATATAATTCGGGGAAAATAATCTGCTTTTCTGTATCAGTATTGATTTTGCTGAGGCTACCTCCTCTAAACCAAAGTGTAAAACTACAAAAAAAACCTCAAAAGTAAATGCTGTGTAGGGTAGAAAGCTTAGTAATCAGGCGATAGCAGCTCAAGGTTAGGTTCTATCTCTTATTTATATGACTTCACATTAATTCTTCCCTTGTTTTCTCATCTTAAAGGGGAGGGGGGTTGGATTAGATACTTTGAAGGTCCACTCATGTTTAACTATGCAACAAATTCATGTTTTAATCTCTCCACCACCACCAGATCCCAGTCAATGAAAATGGTAACAAAAATGGAGCATTAAGGGAAACATATGATGCTCTAAGATCCTAGAAGTTGGCTGGGAAATTCATTATTATTGATGCTCACATCCTTACCAGCCACTAGGTGTCACTACAGATCCATAGCTCAAATCTGACAGAAAATAACTGGAAACCAGATGTGTACTGGGTAATTCCTTTTTCATTAAAAAGCACTAAATGTCCAGTAGAACATGTGCTAGTTCAGAGATATAAAACAATAAAGATACCTGCCAAAACAGTAGAATAACCTTGTGATAGAGTTCCACTGTCAGCTTTGACTATCAAAAACTTTTATTATTAAAGATTAACACAGATTTATTTAATGGGAGAAAAAAATACCCTAAAACTTCAAACTACTCCCTTATCACATACTTGTTAACCCACAAATACTATAACTCATGTCCAATTATTGTTATTATTCTGGGGGGTAAAATTTTACCTTTTAAGCCTGTTTTTAAAGGCTTAGGAAATTTTTAAAATATTACTTTTAATTACTTGAAAGAATTAGTATTCTAATTATCCAAAGTGGGTTTTCCAAGGCTCTCTCTACACGTTAACACTGAAAGCCTAACTTAAGTTAAAGCTTAACATGAATAAAGTATACTGTTAAAAAGTATTTGAAAAAGACATTTCGCCAATTCATAATCAGTTTTCACCCAAATTACCTGAGTTTATAAAAGCTTCAATATTCATAAACCTGATCAACCTTTTCATTGACTAGTGAGTGTCTTCTCCTGCGAGGCATGGGGCATGTACCTCTAGTCCCAGCCCTCAAGAGGCTGACGCAGGAGGATCACAGTTTGAGGCCACCCTGGGCTTTAAGGCAAGACCCTGTCTCAAAACCAAAGCACAATGTATTTTCTCTTTAGTTATATGAGTCTTATAACAAATCCTAGAACTAGAAGGAACCTTAAAAATATTCCAGTACAACACTTCATTTTTTAAATGTGTTGGTGGCACTGGGGTTTGAACTCAGCACCTCACACTTGCTAGGCAGGCGCTCTACCACTTGAGCCACTCCGCCAGCCCCAATGCTTCAATTTATTGATGAGAAAACTGGACCATCAGAGGTCAAATGGCTGGGTGCAGGCTTAAAGTGGGTAGCAGATGAATCTCTAAACACGGTAAGTTTTGGTTTTTATGACACCATAGTTCTCAATTTACCTTAAACATATTGATCGTTCCCAACAGATTATGTGGACATGTACCTAAGACTGACAATTCCTAACAAAAAAGGCCTTTCCCACACAGGTAAGTCACATACAAATAGTAACAGACACCTTCCACTTCCTCCATATTCAGTTTTTTCCTTCTTTGGTACTGGAGACTGAAGGTCACAGCCTCATTCTTCCTAGACAAGGGCTCTACCACTTAGGCCACAACCCCAGTCCTTTTGCTTTTGTTTTTTCAGATAGTCTTACACTTTTGCCCAGGCCTGCCTTGGACCTCAACCTCCAGAGTAGCTGGGATTATAGTAGTGCACCACCACGCCCAGCCCTGTAGCTAATTTTCCTGGTAAATGTCTACAGAAATTGAAGCAATTAGCATTTCATAGCGTATGCATATGCTCACCTCCAGCTTACCTAAAGAGAGAATCCAATTAATTTCAAGACTAATGGGCAACCTCCTTCTCTAATTAAGATGCAGCAGAATCCTAATTAAAATCCCCTACCAACAGCAACCTGTGAACTTTGCTGTTGTGGGGAAAAGGACAAAAAATGAGGTAAGTTCAATTATACAGCAATAACAGGATTTTATTTAAATGTGTAATTAAATGGACCCAATTATGGATTTGCTATCTACAGTGTTACTTCATTCTAACTTAGCAATTCCTTTGATCATTCCATTGACAAGAATCCAAGATTGTATCCTAGTGAATAAGATAATGACTATGGTGTTTGCTGACAGCCTAGGAGCGTGTTTATATTGCCTAGACAAGTACATACACTTTTAAATTAAAAGTGAATAAACACCTCCATACATAAGGGATTTTCTCACCCAAAATCCAGTTCACAGAAAGGCCAGAAAACCAAAAACTTAAGTGATAAAAAGGACTGCTAGAGGGAAAGAGAAAGAATATGTAACTTCCAATTATACTTTTCTAAATCTGAGATGATGTACCATCTCAGAAAAATAACTCCCCTGGGATTCTAGCATGAGAGGTAAAAACCAGGGAAAACTTTCTAGAAGAGCTTTTGTAAGATTGATACATACTGTGAGAACAGTTTGAACAGAATGAATTCTAGCTTCCAAGAACTACTGAACACTAAGAGCTAAAAACTTTCCCTTAGCCTACTAGCAGGTCAGTTCTTAACATGAGTGCTACAGATGTATAGGGTCTATAAACCCTTTGAAATATCATTCACAGTTCTCTGATTATGGAATGAGAAATTTTCTGGGGCCAACCTACAGCCTTCATCAGATTCATAAAAGAATCTAAGAACCAACAAAAATAAAGAGCTGCACCTCTACATAAGCAACTTAAGACAGTTACTGATGATACTTAACTATCTAACACACATTAAAAATGTAATGAGTAGAAATCTCAACAAAAAAATTAAAAAATACAAAGAAGAGCTAGATGCCAGTGGCTCATGCTTGTAATCCTAGGTACTTTGGAAGGCTGAGATTGAGAGGATCACATTTTGAGGCCAGCCCAGGCAAAGAACCCCATCATCAAAAAAATAACCAGAGTGAAACGGATTGGAGGTGTGGCTCAAGCGGTAGAGTGCCTGCTTTGCAGGCATGAAGTCCTGAGCTCAAACCCCTGTCCTACTAAATAAATAAACAAAAACATGAACACATCTAATTAAATTTGTTTTTACTAGATAGAAATTTTTTACTGGGAGCAAATAACATCAATTACCTTTGGGAAAATCTAAAACTATCCAAATATTCTTTCCTGCCTAAACCTAAAAGATCTACCACGCTACAAATTTCTACAAGAATTCACCCATATGGAAATGCAGCCCAATCCTCCTGTAAAGAACGCCACAGTGTAAACTAACATTACTTTCAAATCTTAACTGTTTTTATTTTTTTTAAGTAAGCAGTGGTATATGTCATCTTTTTAAATGTTTCTTTTGGGAACAGCTTACAGAAAAATGACACCTCGGGACCTTTAGCTCTTATGTCCCAAAAATTCTCTTTTGAGAATCTGATGAAGTTTCTTAAAAAAAAAAAAAAAAAACAGGTAATATACCTGGACCAAGTCAAAATAATCTGAAAAATAGATGTGTTCCAGTGGAAAGCCTCAAGTCTGTTCAAGTTCCTCAAATATGTCACTATATACCACTCTAAGTTACGGAGAATGGATATCCAAATATAAATTGCTTGTTGATAGTTTCTATCATCAGGAAGATCCTACAATCGCTGGTTACCATGCATCATTTCTTGTAGATAAACTGTATTCATATGATAGGCAGCCATCCAACTCGGATGTCTCTGAGTATTCCAATAGTATGACTGAGAGGCAGCAGCATAATATTCTTGCCATGCCCTATAGTAAGCTCTCCAGTACTCCTCATAATCCTGGTAGGTATCAGAAAAACTCGGATGTGTTTCCCTATGACAGTCATGCCAACTATCTGCCTGGGGTTCTGTCTGTAATCTATAGGAAGAGCGCTTGGGAAGGTTTCTCCGGCTTTGCTTAGATCTTTGGTTAGACCCCTCTTTATGTCTTGCCTTTATCTGGATTTCAGGTGATTCTTGACATTCCTCTGGAGTAGAGGTGTTATTTCCATTCAGAGGTTGTCCCAAAGAGATATGGCCATCCACAGGAGTAGATTCTGAGTCTTTCAACTGAGTATCAGAAGAGCCTTCCAAGTATGACTTATTTCCTTTGCTCTGGGAGGAAGTCCTTGAGCTGTAAGAATCACTGTCACTCTCTGAGTCTCCAGATTGGCTACTACTTGCCAGTATCTGTACTCTATCTTCAGAAACTCTACTTCTCACAAAGCCATTTTGAGGGTTCACAGTCTGATCCCCAGGACCTGTGTAGTGTCTGATGATTTCCACAGGTTTCTCTAACCCTTCTTTAATATAGTGGTCATAATCGTCTACCAGTTCTGCAAAAGTCAAAGTGCATGGCTGATGAATTTTAAAGGAAGACAGACAAGGAATTTGGGGGAGTGACCCAGGTAAAGCTTCTTTGACCCGATGCTGACTGCTTGTGGAGTTCTCAACAAGGGGCTCAACAGAATTCTTCGTCTGTTCTTCCAATTGGATGGCATGCCCCACTTCTTTTGGTGATGTCGCTTTTTCTCTGATTCCACACTCTGAGTGGCTTTTCGCAAGAAGTTTTTGTTTGGTATTTTTTGATTGGACTGGGAGTGCAGACACAGAAGTATGTCTAGAGGAAGTCATGTGGTTACTATGAATTTTCTGAGGTTGAAAGGCTCTCTCAACTTTTTGAATTTGCTTTTTTGGAGGCTGGGTTGGTATACTTGCTAAGCCATAAGTATGCATCGCAGCTTTAACCTCCACATCCCAATCCAAACATTCTTCCATCAGACCAGGAGGAATGGGATCTGCAGAAAAGGAAGAATAAGTATAAAAATTCTTGACAGCATTTTCTGATAATGTCAGAAAGTTTTTCAGTAAGACTAAGAAACAAAATGTGCAAATAATATACTAGGAATATACTTATGTTTTAAAGGACTAACAATCCTGAAGAAAAGGATTTTAAGAAACATATAAGATACATCCCATACTCACAAGCGCATCTCCCCACACTTCCTCAAAAGCTTACACTATGAGTGATAAGGATGTCTACAGCAATCCTCCCATCATTTTCTTTCCCTTCTTCTCAGCTTCTCTCCTCTAACTCAATGACAACAGAAGAAGATACTAGAAAATTTGACTGTGCTCCCCAAAGCTTACCAACTAGGACATATTACAGCTGCAACTCTGCCACCCTACCCTCTCATAGGAAGAAATCACTGCCCTTACCAGTGGAGAGAAAAGCTCCACAAAGAGAAAAACCAAAACCAAAACCAAAAAACAGATGTCTAATTTAAAAATCTGTTGGCTTCAACTGTAAAGTGCCTATTTCATCCAAGTGTAACAATTAGCTTCCACTTGTATATTGAGACCTTTTAAAGTGTGGCCAATTTTCACCTTAGGAAAAAAGACATACAAAGCCCCTGCTTTATACAGATCCTCTCTGTTGCTGCTGTTCATATTCCGTATAGGTCTACCCACTAAATGCCTCAAGTCTGGATTCTTCAATGGAAGCTCTTGACTTTGTGAATAAAACTCTTTGGTTTACTCAGATGATTCCCTTGCTTGTGTAGCCTATAATACAGGGCAATTTGTCTCCTAGTACTGCCCCAAGAACTCATCTGAACAATCTGCTGTAACACAAGTTCTCTGTCCAATATAGATCTAACAGCATGACTATCATTCTCTCCTTATTTCAGGGTTCTGTTAACATTACATAAAGATATAAATATCTCATTTTCCAGCATCCAAAGGCAAACTTTATTTTTATCACTAGATGCTATGATACTGAATCCTACACAATTCTTAACCCTCTTCTTCCAATTTTTAATTTACTTTTTTCTGTACCAGACCAACAGACTTATACTTAGAAAGAATTAACAATTTTAGAACTGATACAAAACCTAAAAGCCATCTACTCTAAAACACCTAGCCAATCAGGACATTAAGCTTAAAGCAATTAAAGAAATTTGTACAAGACCATAAAATTATAAAGCCAGAACTTCCTACAATCCACAGAACTCCCAAATCTGTGCTTAACCTTTGTAGAAGACTTGTAAAATAACTGAAGAAATTAAATATAAAAATGAATAAAAAAACCTTAGGTTTATTCAATAACTACATACCCCATATTCTACGAGGTCATGTATATACTATGTATTGTACAGTTATGTATACATAAGCTTGTATGTGTATACATAAATGTACATTTATGTATGCTTACATATACGTACATACTATTTGTAGCATGTAACTTATCAAATAACCCACATTTCTACTTAAAAGTTCTCTAGGGGTTTTGATTGTCACTCAAATTTTTCAAAATAGTATTCAAATGAAAATACTGTTTCTTCCCCATGTTGACTAGGATATGGCAAGAATTACCTTCATAGCAACTTAAAAGGGGTAAAATATCCTCCCTTATATCAAAGAATAAAATCAAACTGTAAGGTCATTAACTAGTAGTTTAGTTTCCATTTTTCACGTGCCAGTAGTTAGCTTGCAATCCTCTCATATACCACCTTTACTTAACCTCTCTATGCCTAAATGTCTACAAAATAAAGATAATAATAGTATATGCCTCATAGAATTGTAGTGAGAATTAAATGAGTCAACATACATAAAGTACAGGGAACAACACCTAACACACCACAAGTGCTAAGTGTTAGCTATTATTTTTATTATGCCTGTCATCACTATAATTGTTTATAATAGAAAAATGAAACTGACAAATGTACCTGGTAAAGGGAGAAGGTTGATGTTACATTTCTGGGCAATTTTCATCATCATATTTTCTTCTTCTCCCCGGCAACAGTAGGTCACTGTCAGTCCCAATGTACCTAAATCAAATGAAATGTTAAGCAGTGAATCATTCTCACATAAATGACATTCCAAGTCCATCTTTCACATTAGATTCTTCCCCTTAAAGAAAACATTTGAGCTTTTTATTTTACCAAAACGGCCAGCTCTACCAATCCGATGCATGTACGTCTCCCAGTCCAATGGTACGTCCAAATTGACAACCAGATTCACCTTCTCAGCATCAATGCCGCGAGAGGTCTGGCATTGAAGAAGACAATAATCACTTGTCCACATTAATTACTGCATGTCTACCAGTGTTCACTATATTCTTCTAGTACAACCAAGAGCCAGATTAAGAACAGGAGAATATTTAGGAGCAGAGGAAAAGGAGATTGATTCCTAATGACTAACTTCAGAAACAAAGATTAAAATATTAAAGACATTTTTAAGAAAGATTTCCCCCAGAACTGGAAAGATAATTATCTTCTGGCATTCTTGTTAGATACACCCACATAAAACAATACACAGCATCTGCCCATCTGATAATAGAACATATGTCAAGATAGATTAGTCACCCCAATGAACAGGAAAATTACCAAATCTGTAGAAATGAGAACTCTGCAATGGAACTGCTTCAGTTTAGCCATAGCATCAAGACGCTGATTCTGATTCATGTTGCCTAAAAAGATCCAAAAAGAAAGTGACATGAAAACAACTAAATGAATACATATTTATCAAATCCATAAAAAGCAGGAATCATAACTCCCAGTCTTAACACTTTAAATATACCAACACAGTTACAATTTGTCCTGTGCAAATCTAGGTTAAGATCTAAAGTCAGAATCCTTAAGAATACATGGCTTAGGCAATTTGAAATTTAAAAATCAATTTTAAATGGTGACTAGATTAAGTCTGCAGATTATAGCATATGAAGAAAAATAAACTGCTTTAACTGACCATTTATAAATTTGGTGCTAACCTCTGGAAACAGTCTCCCCATATCTCATATCAACCAAGCTCAAGCTAACAGCTTAAAAGATGAATGGAATTAGAGACCTCACCATTGCTACTATTTTGGTTTGTTTGTTCTCTCAAATGAACTTTATAATCAACTCTTTAACTCTAGACATGAGTGAAGAATGGGTGGGAGTCACTTATTATTTAGAGGGAAAAGGTCTATAGAGTAAGTTCCACTCAGGAACATTTTAAAGGGTAAGTCTTCTGAAGCAGGTGTTGCATGGAGGGGTAATTAGGATAAAGGTCATTTGGGAAGCTGGGACTCGAATGTTAATGCGATGCTTCAAAAGCTAGTAAGAAAACTGTAGACAGAAATTCAAGAACAATGAAAGAAATGTTAAGAAAAAAAAACTTAAGATGAGACATAAAATGAAACTAAAAAGACTTCACGGATCAGAAATTCCTTTTAGTCTTTCTTTCCTATTAGGTCAGCAGCAATAAGCTGTGGCAAGAATGGTCACTTTTGCCTCCCACAAAGCCATAAAACAGGCTGAAGGTATAGTTCAGTGGTTAGAGCACTAACATGCACAGCTTCAGTTTGAGCCCCAACACCACAAAAAGAAAAAAGCTACCAATTCTTAGTTTTTGTTGTTGTTGTCATGAGATACAGTCAGGTTATGTAGCCCAGGTTGGCCTACAATTCACAATGCAGACCAGGCTAGCCTCAAACTCATGATCCTCCAGCCTCAGTCTCCTGTGTGCTGGGATTACAGGCATGCACTATCACACCGAGATTAGTTCTTACTATTTTAACAATGATTACTTCAAGAAATAAAATACCTCTTAAGACAAAAAGACAAACTTTGTTTTATAGAATTAAGTTTTTTGTAGATACAACTCAGAGATTAATGAGAAATTAATTTTACCAACTAGTTTTCCAAGTTTTTAGTACATACCAAGTTTCTCCTTTAAAAACAAAAAAAAACCCAGGCTATTGACACACCAAATTCCAATGAAAAATCAGCATGAAATTTCCTTTATTCTGAAGATTCAGCGCAACCTCACACTCCCAAACAACTCATGAAGTGGTATTTGCTTCTTCTAACTTGGGAGGCTTATATATGGCACTTATATATGTCCATATATTAAACAAAAATCAAAGAGATGAACTTGCCTGAAATGCACTCAGCAGGAAAACCTTTAGAAGAAAGGATATCGGCCAAATGTTGTGCTCTACAAAAAATCACAAAGGTTTATAATTTACAAATATTGCCCCATGCCTATCCTTTTATAAATTCCCCAAAAGACCTCTTAAGTTTTATTACCTGCTGTGCAAATTAGAAAAGACTAAGGCTTGATTAAATGGAATTCTGCTGAAAAGTTCCTGTAAATGCTGAGCCTTATCCTCAAAAATCTTATGGGTTAAAGGGTATGCATTGACAACTTTGTAATATTGCTTCAGACCTACAAAAACATAAATAGCCATCAATTAAAACAAGCATACTTGCCATATCCCAATAGCAACTATGAAACAGCAATAACCAACAAGGAAAGTGAAAACTCTAGAATGTCATGAACTCGATAATGTAAGTACCCAAATCTGTACATACCTATGAGACTTGGATCACTAGAATTCAATCTTACAAAGGTGGGATCTCTCATATACCTTGTCAAAGCATTAGCCAAAAATTCAGGGTAAGTAGCTGATACTGCCAACATCTGTTTACTGGCAGGTAAGGAAGAATAAATCCAACTGCAAAACAGAAGAAAACGTATACCATGGTTCCAGTAATTGCTAACTGGAGAAGTTAAAGATACATACTTTTGGGCACTAGATTCATAGTCAAGTTATTTTTCTTTCTTACTTTATTTGCTCCTGAAAGCTGCCTTCTTCTAAAAGCTTATCAGCTTCATCAAGAATAAAGAGACGTATACTACCTGGATTCAAGTAGTCAAGTTCTATAAGTTGCTTAATTCTACCTAAATTTCAGGAAAAAAAAAAAAAACAGTGAAATATTTATGATGTATCAAATTTGTGCAAATCTAGGCCAATGTTTCACTCTATTTATTCACAAGTTGTACTACTGAATTTCCTGACTCAAATCTCATTATGAATTTACACACCAAACCACAAATTAGAAACCTTAAGTTCTCATCTTGCCTAAATTCATTATTATTCCCTCACTTTTCATCACCAGTAAGTATGAAAATAAATAACATTCCTATCAAAAGACTTGAGTGCTCAGACAATGAATGCTAGATTCTGAGTGAGTCTTCACCAAATGATTAACACAGAGGCAAAAGAAAAATCTCAGTCCATGACTTAAAAGGGCTTCCTGAAAGTAATCTCATTTTTCCTTTTCTCAGAGATCTACCTTGTACATGTTCTCAAATATCCTTAGGGATGGAGATGAATAAATTCTGTTGGTAATCCAGTCTAATGTTCATTTCTTCCATTTCTTTTTTTTTTTTTGCTGCACGGGGGATTGAACTCAGGGCCTCAAGCTTGCTAGACAACTGCTCTACCACTTGGGTCATGCTTTTAATTTGTTTTTCAGACAGGGTCCTGCACTTTTGCCCAGACCAGCCTCCAACCACAATCTTTCCACTTCTACCTCTAACTAATCTTCTTTACTTCTAACCAACATAATTATCACATTTATTCAAGATTCCCACATCCCTTTTATCATATTAAAAGTGTTCTGTTCATTAACAGCCCCAGTTACCAAGAGGCACTGATATCTTACCAGGAGATCCAACAGCAATATGACACTTTTTAAGCCTGATTTTGTCTTGTGATAACGGAGTCCCTCCAATAAAGACATGACACTCTAAGCCTTCCATTTTTATTCCAATGGCTGTGATAACAGAATGTATTTGTACAGCAATTTCTCTTGTAGGAGCCAGGATTAAAATCTAAAAAAATGGAAAACATACCTTTAACAAGTTGGTGGAATAAATACGTATGACTAGTACATTCATTATGTGATACATTACTTTTCATTTAAACAATCATTTAAAATGAGTTTTTATTGACAGAAAACATACTCAATTTACTTAATCATTCAACAAATATTAAGAATCTACTATGCATAGGTTCTTATTAGGTGCTAGAGAAACCAACAGTTAAAATACAAAGTCTTTGCCTTCTTGGCATTTTCATTCTTGGATAAACAATAAATAAGCACACATAAATATTAGCAAGTAATGACAACCATGATGAAGAGAATCATTCTAACAGGGAAAGAGAAAGAGGTGACAAAAGGAGTCATTTTAAATAGGGTAATTAAGAATGCCCCCTAAAGAAATCTAAAGATTTCTTAGGTGTTAAGAAGACACCTAAATGTACAGTAGAGCTAGCTGTGTGACACCTGTTTCAAGAAGAGGAAAACAGCAAATGCAAAAGCCTTAAGATTGTAGTATTGTTGGTACATCTGAAGAACAGCAGGAAGGCCTTTGTGACTGAACATATTTTAGGAAAAAAGTAAAGAAGATCAGAGCGCTAACTCTAGAAGCTAAGTTCCAAAAGATCTTGAGAGCTACAGTACAAACTTTATGATATAGTTACTGAAAGAAAAGGTAAAAAAACTCCATGTTCTCAACCATAAGAAAACACTGCTTTTAAAAAAAAAAAATACTAAGAGCCAGGCACCAGTGGCTCATGCCTGCAATCCTAGCTACTCAGGAGGCAGAGATTAGGAGGAGAGTGGTTCAAAAAGCCAGTCTCCAGCAAATAGTTCATGAGACCCTATCTCGAAAAAACTCATCACAAAAAAAGGACTGGCAGAGTGGTTCAAGTGGTAAGAGTGTCTGCCTAGCCCTGAGTTCAAACCCCAGTGCCCCCCCCCAAAAAAAAGAAAGAAAGAAAATATATGCTAAAACTCTTAGCAACAGTTTCTCTCTAGGTAGGTGACATGTTTCTGGTACTCCCTCACCTATTGTTCTGAATTTTCCCAATTTTCAAAGATGATTATGTATTATTTTGATATACATGCATGAAAAATGTGTATAATTTTGATAATACAAAAGATAAATACTTTAAAAATAAGAATTTTATTTCTAGACCATCTTTAGGGTTTTGGTATTTAACCTGCTGCCAAATTATCACAAGCCAAAATCTTAAGTATATCCTGATTTACAAGCAGACTAGCCAAGGTCCTTTGTAAGTCAGAGGATTTCTTATGTGCAATTATCACCCAGGTTTTGGTACATATAAGCTAGGACTCAAAAGTAGACTGTAAGGTCGTTGAGTGTGGTAGCATGGAGCGTGACCCGAGAACTCTATTAGTGTTTTAAGTTTGAAATTTTCTATTTTTACTGCATCATAAATAGAATGTCTACCATATGTGTCAATTTTTTAAAAATCATTATTTTTAAAGTTTTTTTTTTTTTAAAGATTGTTTTACTTAGTGACTAGATTGGGGTCAGACTTCGCGTTTGGCTTGGTTAATGGTGAATGTGGCAGGTAACTGCAGATGGCTCTTAAAAGCTCTATGAATGCATCATATTGAGCTCTCATTTCCATTCACCACGTTTACTACTCCCCGAGGAGTTACTGCTATTCCATGTGACCCGAGATAAAGTCTACATCACACGCTGTCCTCCGTAGGTCCTGGGAGCTCAACTCACCTGTGTACTGTAGTTTTCAAGAACAAGAGAATCCAAAGCGATGGTGGAGAACACACAGGTTTTTCCAGTGCCAGACTTAGCCTGAACAATTAAATCTGAGGAAGAAAAATACGTATGTCACTTACTGAATGAAGCAGCAAATCACCTACTTGGCACCTTCCCTTTTTTTGGTTGACTCGCCAACATCCACTGGACCCTGAATCTCTGCTTTTGACCTTCTCCAACTCAGAACCACTCGTCGGTGCTGGAAACGGTCTTGCCTACCTTCAAGTTCAACAGCTCGCATAGACCCCAGGCCGGGCCTGCCCCAGCCCGCACGGGCGCAGACCGGGGCTCTCCTGGGTCACGCCGCAGCCGCCCTCGGCCCCACCTCCCTGCCCGCCCGGCCTCACCGAGCCCGCAGCGCCCCAGCGGGATGGCCTTGAGCTGCACCGGCGAGGGCCTCTCGAAGCCGGCCGCCCGCAGCCCCTCCAGCACCGGCCGCGACAGCAGCAGCGATTCGAAGTCCGCCGGCTCTGCCAGCAGCACGTCCCCGGTGCGGGTCCGCGGTCCGCCGATGTCGTGAGCCGTCCGCAAGCTCCGTATGGGCTCAGGAGTGGGCTCAGCGGATGAGGCTACACGCTTCGCCGGCATAACAGTGTCTACCGTCTCTAAGGCCGCTGGGGCTTCAAACGCCGCCGCCATGGTAGCCGCACTGCCAGATCTCGCGATACTTAGGGTGAGGCGGGGCTGCTGGGAACGAGAAGAGAAAAAACTTTATTGGCAGCCTTGCGGCGAAGACACTGACATTCCCAGCCTGGAAGGGAAGGGAAGGAAGAGACGGAAGTCGGAGACTGAGACTCGTGAACACTAACAGAAAAAAAGAAAAAAGAAAAAGTGGTCTAAAGGAAGAAGCGGGAAGAGAAGAAAGGCCGCCGGTGTGTCGCCGCCCGCGGCCTGCAGAGGGCGCCGCGTACCCGCGGTGGGCGCCGCCCGCCTCCCGGACCTCTTCTGGGCGGTGCGTCCGGAGCCGCCAAACGCACAAGGCGCCCTTTGTGATGGGCCGCGCACGTCACTCGTCGTCCCTCCCCGAGCTTCGGCCGCCGGGCCTGCAGCCTCAGTCTTCCTTGGCGGTGGCCTCTCCTCCGATGCTTCCCAGTCCGCACCCAGCCTGCTGCCCCTGAGAGCGCGCGGAGCAGAGGCGCTGGCCGCTGTCTGCTGGACAGCTCTGTCATCTCCGTGCCCTTGACCCCTCGCACAGCTCGTGGCACTTGGAGAGCTGTGATAATCAAGAACATGGAAGCGGAACCCAGAACTGGACTGGCAGCTCCCAAGTTCTGCCTTAGACCTCTCTCCAAGACAGCTCCCCATCCTGCCTGCTCCTAGCTTTTCCATCCTATCCCTTTGCTCTTTCTTATCTCTTTTGGCTTTTTTTTTATTTTAAGTAAGGGTCTCGCTATGTAGCCCAGGCTGACCTCAAACTAGCAATTCTCCTGCCAGATGCTGGGTTGCAGGCATGAACCCCAGACCCCACCTCTTTATTTTTTAATTCATGATACTTCTTTATTTTTTTAATTGTTTATACATTTAATCATATGCGTATACATTGTTTGGGCCATCTCTCTCCCCTGCCCCCCTCATGATACTTCTAAGAAATTATATGGGTGTTGTCTGTCTCCTCTGTTGGGACACAGGACCTATCTGTCTTGTTCTCTGCTGTTCCTAGTGGGAAAAAAAAAAAATCTGAAAAAAAGTAAATTTTCAGTATTTGTAGAATGAGCTATAACAAAGTCTTAGTCATAATTCCACATTTAAATTATATAATTTTGTTGGCACGACTGGGATTTGAACTCAGCCCCACACTTGCTAGGCATGCACTCTACCACTTAAGCCACCCCACTCCACCCACAAATTATATAATCTTGTTCATAATTACAAATTTAAGATTTTGCATCCAACCCCAAATTTGTTCTTAGCTCACAAACCTGGCGTTTTGCTTCCCACTACTTCTCACACACACTGATGGCCCATGTTCCAGAAGATGTAGGAGGGGCTTTGGCTTGGTAATCCCTTTGGAAGGAGGGTCCTGAAGATAGATGGGATTTGCTTAGAAATTTACAAAACATCCAGAAAATGTCCACCATCCCTATGAAAGAAGAGAGACTGATGGGGGTGTGTGCCATTCAAGGTCTCGGGCTTCATCTAGTACCCCATCTTTCATTCACCTAGTCCACAAATCACAAATCTAGAAATTATTCTTGACTCTGCCCTCTGTCCTTTGCCTCCTTCCCCTTTTTCTAACAATTTACTGGACAAGTAATTTTGCCAACAAATGCTTCCTTCATTCCTTTTCAGTTTCTATACATCTGCTCTGTTTTAGGTAGGCCTTCTAGCCTATATACCCTGCAGGTGACTTTTTTTTTTTTTTTAATCCTGGGGGCTTGAACCCTGGGCTTTGGGGACACTAAATACATACTCTACCACAGAACCACATCCCCAGCCAGAGAGCAGCTTTTCTAAGGTAGATACCTTAAGTTGTTTGCATCCAGTTTCATATTCTACTCTTTTTTTCATTTTGTTTTTCATAGCATGGTAGAGCTTTTAGGTTTAGGCAGGGAGGAATAGTTAAAGATAGTTTTAGGTTTTCCCAAAGGTAATTGATTTGATGTTATTTGCTTCCAGTAAAATATTTGTTCTTAGTAAAAACAAAGATATGTTTATGTGAAAAACACCTCTAGTCCAGTTTGCTCTGATTATTTTGGAGATGAGCTCTCACAAACTATTGAGCAGGCTGGCCTCAAAGAGCAATCCTCCCAATCCTAGCCTCCCAAGTAGCTAGGATTACAGACATGAGCCACTGGCAACTGGTATATTCCACTCCTTTTGACACCTTTTTTATTCCCCATCCTAGGCTCCCACTTCACAGTGAATGATTCCAGTCTAGATTTTACTATTTTCTGTTTACCTGTTTACATCTCTGTGTCTCATCCTAAATTATGAACATCTCAAAGACAGCAATTTTGTCACCCAAGGCCCTCCAGCCCAGCACCACACATTTGTTGAACCGAATAGACATTGACTGGCTGAAAATCTCTGTTGGGCCTCCATTCACACAGCAGTGATTCTGTTGAACTCATACCAATCACTGTCAAAGAACCCGGCTCTTACCCCAAGGCACTATTTTTAAAAAGAACATTTATAGTTTTATAGGCATCCTGTTAGTGCTTTTGTTGTTTATAACATTTTTTAGACACAACTATTGCAGTAATGTTATTGGAAATAAATTGTATTACTAGAGCTAAAAACACAAATCAATAAAAAAAATTGTTTCCTCAGAAATTAAAAATTGTGCCAGGTGCCGGTGGCTCACTATAATTGCAGCTACTCAGGAGGTAGAGATCAGAAGGATCACAGTTGAAGCTAGCCCAGTCAAATAGTTTTTGAGACCCTATCTTGGAAAAAAGCAATACAAAATAGGACTGGAGGAGTGGCTCAAGTGGTAGAGTACCTGCCTAGCAAGCCTAGCAAGTTTGAACCCCTGAGCCCTAGTACTACCAAGAATAAAGAAAATGTTCTTTTTTTTTTTTTTTTTTTAAGTACTAGGGCTTGAACTCAGGGCCTGCACCTTGAGCCACTCCACCAGCCCTTTTTTGTGATGGGTTTTTTCGAGATAGGGTCTCGAGAACTATTTGCCCTTACTGGTAGGTGGGCCAAATACTGGAGATACTAAAATGGAACAAAATAAACAAACCTTGACTGTAAGGAGAAAGATGCACATGAACAGGTGGCCTCCTTTGATGTACAGTACCGGGTGTTATTGAAGTCACAGAAGGGCAGGTAACCCAAGTGTGGGAAGCCAGGAAAGTCTCAGGGGTTAAGATTAAGTTTGATTGTAAATAAAATCTCAAGACAGAAGTTTACTTCTCCAGAAGTTTGTTTTGCCCTTTTAGAGAAGTCTGGGGGTAGGACTAACATAATAGCTCCGGCCCACAAAGTTCCCAGGTATCCGAGCTTCTGTTTGTCCTGCTACTCAAATGATTGCTCTAGTTCCAGCCATCACATCTTCATTTCAGCCAGCAGGAAGGAGGAAGACTCAAAATAGAAAGTAGAGAGGATAGAGGTCATTTTTAAAAGTAGGGTAGAAAGAATGTTTTCAAAAGCTGCTGTACTCCTATGTGGTATTTCATTGGCCAGTACTTAGCCATAGACTCATACCTATCTGCAAGGAAACCTGGGAATGTAGTTATTTTTCTGGACAATCACCTACCCAGCTAAACACTGGTTGGAAAGGAGGTCTATTACTACAGAAGAAAGGGAAAGAGTCTAAGAGTCTGCCACATCTGCCTAGAGTTAGCAAGAGCTACAAGATCTTTGACCTTGTCACAGGGGAGGAGAAAGCAGGGGTTTGGAGATGCAGAAGATCACAGCACATTCTAAAGAGCTTAGAATGCAAATGCGGAGTGAGCTTTGAGGAGGCAGGAGAGGTGAGCTAAAGACCAGCTCAAGTCTGCACTTTATCCTAAGAGCCTCTGTGTCAGATGCAGGAGAGGCTACCCTCAGGTAACTCCTTAAAGGAATCCTCTCAGTCTCAGAGTCACAAACTTCATAAGACAGATCAAATCTGGGCTGGTGGCATGGCTCAAGTGATAGAGCACCTGCCTAGCAAGCAAAGGCCCTAAATTCAAACCCCTGTACCAAAAAGAGAAAAAAAGTCAGATCTGCCTAACAGCCTAGGCTCATTTTTCCCCCTGTCCTAAAAGAGTTGGCAGCCCAGCTGGGGAAATGATCAAGTGTAAAATATGCAAGTAGCACAAGCTAGTATAAAAATCATATGCAGTCCTGACATTTTTCAGAGACTTCATTGTTCAAAGTATGGTTGTCATGTGGGAGAGAGTGAGAACTTCTGAGAACTTGAAGAGAATGACTTTTGGTATTCAGAGAGCAATAGCTTTCTTCTCCCTATCCTTCTCATCCCCATCCCAAATCAAAGTGGTTTCAAGTATGTATGGAACTCTGAGAAAAATTGCATGTATGAGATCATCCTTGACCCACTCCCTGGAGTCCAGCACTTCAGCCAAGGCAGCAGCATCAGGAGATACAGCTCAAGTTCCAGGGAGAGATGGGGGCTATGCTTCTCCTGCAGGATGAACAAGGAGCTCTTCAGGCGGAGGGGGTGGCAAGGGAGCTCAGCAGGCAGACAAGACCCAGAAAGCTATTCTGGGTGAAGGAACAGTTTGTGTAGAGGCGTGGAAGCATGAAAACCCATAATAGCTTAGGAAAGGTAAGTCTTTCAGTGTGAACGGAGGCCAGGCTGCCAGCAGTCACCAGGAAATGAGGCTGCAGTGATATATGGAGCGCCTTGTTTGCCACCAGAAGGAATACAAAATGAGTGTGTTATGCTCTTCCAAAGAGGATGGTGTTATATAACAGCAAAGAGAAACACAGTTGGAAAGGGAGATTGGCGCTTGATTCGCGGCAAAGCTGAGGAGTTCAGATCTTAACTTGCAGATCTGGGCACATCACTAAGTCTAATTTGCAGCAAGTTAATGAGAAGTTCCACTTTACACACCGGATTTTTGTTTGTTTGTTTGCTTGTTTGCATCAGACAGCTCCTGGGTCTTGCTTTCTGAGCACCACCTTACCCAGAAGACCATGGCTAAGCTAGTGCATCATAGCCTTTCCCAGATTTGGGTTTTTTTTTTTGCCTACATGCTCAAGCTCATTTTCTCAGTGGATTAGCACTAGCCACAATCTTAACTTAGAGCAAATTTATCAAAAAAAAAAAAAAAAACAAAAACCTTCTGGACAGAACATACTGTTTCATAATCCTGCTCAATCCTAGTTGGTGCCTCCCACATGGAGATTTTCCATTTCACACGTGCCCCATGGCCATGATCGATCATGGCATCTTCAATACTTATTCAGACAAGAATAAGAAGAGGGAGAGAAGTTGCAAGGGGCTAAGCCCCTACATTCTAGCAAGCCACCTCTGGCCATGGGATTT